CGGTCGCCATGAGGCCGCAGCGGCGCTTAGCTGCGAGGGCCTTCAACGCTGCTTGCAGCTTTAATTTAGGCTTGTTCTTCCATTGCAGCTACATTTCAACATGTTTTTAACTAATTTCAGCTGTTTTTCAGCAAGTTCTTCAGCAATAAGCATTCATACTGCATTTTTGCAGGAAATGCAATTTCTTTAGTTGTATATGCTTTTTTTGCATTGTCCTCTGCTGAGAGATGGGCGCATTCCTTTCAAGAAAACTTTTGCATTCTTAAGGCACCATTCTGGTTTATTTGGAGATGATCTTTTCAATTTTTGAATTTCTTTGTTTACGTTCCTAAAGAAATTGTAAATCTCAATCAATCATTTCCCTTCCTTTGTAGCAAAAGGATCAGATAATAATGAGAGGAATGTGAAAGGTGAAATGCCTAAGGGAAGGGTGACTCCATGGACTGTGTCGTTTGCTGCGAAGGTTAAAGAGACATGGTTAAGGTTTAAGGCTACAGAAAAACAAACAAAACACACAAATCAGGCAAACCGATTTAGATCTTTTGGCTTTCTGCTGTGTTCAGACTGGTCTCTTGTTGCAGCATCAATATCAGGTAAGTCAATGATTACAAAGAAAAGTAACTTGGTGATAAAATACAGTGAGAAACATGTTTGTCCTTTAGTATGTTTAATCTGTACTGTAATACCAAATTTAACCAGTAACCTAATTACTGTCTTCAGATTAGGCACATATGAGGGATTATATTCATGATTTTAAAGCCTAAAATCTGTAAATACTGACAGACATGCCGTCTCTCCCATTGTCACCTTAGACTCAAAGAAACCTATTTATTTAGGGAAAAGTTTTAAACACATTTACACATTTGATTTTATAATAATTCATTTTCTCCTGTTGCGCATACCATTTTAATTTTGAATAGGCAACAGATCAGTGCTCAAAATAGATTTTTTTTTCCCATTAACAACACCAGTGATCGTGTCTGGAGTTATTTATTAAAGTTTTTCTAAAAGCAAAGATGATCACTGATTGGCAGTAGCATAAAAATGTTATTTGCTTGAGAATATTTAGGCATTTACAAGCCTCAAAGGAATGTTGTAGTCTTGTTTGAAGCAGTTTATCTAGTAAACACATCAAGCTGTTTGAGATCCATTTACTGCCCGTCAAAGCGTAGGGGTTGTTTACCCCAAAAGGAAACCAGAGCATTGTACAGAGATAAAGTACCTGGGTGTATCATCATGTATGGCCAAGACTTAAATTTCAAACCAATAATTTGGTTACTGTGTACTTGCAGTAACTTATGCAGCTGATCCATTGACATGTATTATAATATTTCTATATACAATACGTATATAAAAGTCCCAGCACAAGCCCAGCTGTGCCTCCAATTGTCACCTTGCACATAACTTTTAACCAATCCTTATTTCTGACTAGTCATGTTTCACCTGGTCCCCCTAAATCTGACCCAATCAGAAGCAGTGTAGGTCATAGAAATATACATATTTACTGACAAATTTACATTTACAGTTTTTGGTGTTGAACGGATCATGACTCTTTGTTTGCAACCGATGTCCTGAGAGCAGTAGTCCCTCGATACTTTGCAGTTCGACTTTTGCGGACTCACGTTTTTGCGGGTTTTCATTGTAAGATTGTACACAATGTTTCCCATTGGCCTGGCTGAAAGAGAAAGGAGGGACCCCCTCCTTTCTCTTTCTGAGGCTGTTTGTCACATAGCCTGTGTCTGTGACAGACATCTTCAGAAAGAGAAAGGAGGGGTGGGTTCTGTTTTTCCCCATCACTGCTCTGGGAGCTTCAGTGAGGTGGATACCAGAGTGAGCGGCATGGATTGTTTATTTAAAATTATCAAGAGTGACCTGAACCGAGCCTTAATCCGAAACGAGCTGGGACATTTCCCGGTTCTGGAAATGTCCCAGTGCTCCTGATGGCCAGTCTGCCCCCAGGATTGGCTCAGTAGCTGTAGCATCAGTCTGTCTGCTCTCTTTTGCTGTGCTCTTTTAGAGCGTTTAGAGAGTTTAGAACATTGTTAAGCACATTGCAAGAGTGTAGAAAGGGTTTACAAAGTCTTAAATATATATATATATATATATATATATATATATATATGACCTTAAAGTCCCAGGTTCAATCCACAGCCATTCCCACATGTCGTGATGTCTCTGAGCAAGACACCCAATCCCCAATTGCTCCCAGGTGCTTACATAGCTGCCCACTGCTGCACCTGGGTGTATCCCAGGTGCGATGGGTTAAATACAGACAACCAATCTTACCATGTATGGGAACATATTGTACAATGAGACATATATTATACAAGAGTTAAAGTAAAAATGAAAGTTTTCAGTGCTGTTGGTGTCTTTATTTCTGTCTGTTAGTGACAGAAACAAATCTAACTGTCCAAAGGTCATGAAACTTAGTGGAGAAGTGAAAGTTGAGCAAAAGTGGAACACGGTTGGTTTTGAGTTTGCTTTCCTTAAAACTGCAAAGCAGAGCTTATGCTTCGGTGATGGAGGCACTCTGAGCACCCTTCTGCTTCTACAACCATATGCTAAAACCAACGTCAGCTCTACGTATTCATGCTTACAGACGACACAAGCTGCGTTCCTCATATTATAGAAGCTAATTTCTAGTTTGAACAAACATTTCATTACATTAGCAGTGCCTTTCACAAACGTATTTTTAAATAATGGGAAGCATTTCTGATATTAAATTTGCCCACACTCTTACAGACATAAAAGCTAGGCTAGGAATGTTAAGTTTTACCTCATTCACGCATTGATCGCACAGTAACACATCTAAGGTGTGTGTGGTTTCAGTCTGCAGAACGGTGTGTCATGTTCAGGTGCAGCTATGAGACAGGTGTAAAGATGAAAAGACTGTCAGGGGAAGTTTAGGGTGTGCCTGCTCTGTCACTGTTCTGACAGGCCTTTGGTATTCTTCCAAAGAGCTCCAGTTGGAAAACCTGCTCACGTTTCTCACAGGATTGTGTGTGTGGCTGTGTGTGTATGATTGGACGTGCGTGTCAGTTTGTATCCCAGAGCAGACTGCATGAAACTGCCTGCTTACTTGGGTTTCTGTGCTCAGGTGTGCGGTAGACTTGAGGGTCTATATGTGTTGATGATTCCTTAGTTAAACCATCGTACTATGGAAGAACTTGACAGCTGCAGCAGCTCCGAGGTGATTTTGGCACCTTCAGTCTCGGTGCAACGCTATGTCACATCTTTGTTATTCAGCCTTCTCTTCTAAACACTTCTTGATAAAACTTGTAAAGTCAACCATAAACTTAAAAAAAGGACGGGTCTTGATTGAGCATCTATCCATGTCAGTGGTTGGGAATGTATGTTTTCTTTAACACTGCTCTTTGTCTCTTGTCAGTGTGTGAGCCTGTGCGTTGGTGTGCAGACCATTGTGATAATACACTCCCTCAGCGTGTTAACAGACTGCAAGAAACAGGGGGCTGAGTGAAAGAGAGCGAATAATTATGGTTCCCCTTTTTGTCTCGGCTCCCTCAATTAAGCCCGAGGAGAGGCAGACGAAGCGCAGGTCTGCTTATCCACTTCAACCTCAAGAACAATAGGACCCCCACAGTCTATCTTGCTATATCTCCTTCCTTTTTGCCTAGACACTTTTTCCTCACTTTCCAGTGTTTGAATTCTTTTAAAAGCGTAGTACCCCCAATATTTTTCCAACCTCAGCAGCCCCTCTCCTTCTACATTTTGCCTGCAGCTTTACTGCACCTCTTAGCTCAGTGTGGGTTTCCACGCTCCCCTTGTTGTGCGTCTATGGTTCCTGTGCCTTGCTTCAGGGCACAAGGAGAGAGAAAAAACAACAAGAGTCTAAACATCTTAGATTGTACACAGCCTGAAATTAAAGAAGACATCAGTTTGATTCTCCCTGCGTTTAGTCAGGCAGCTTGTTCTGTTTGTTTGGTCTAAGAGCAGGGTTTTTAACTTTCTTACAATAAACTCAAAAACAGATTTATTATGGATTTTCCAATCCTGAAATTTGCTTATACTTTTGGTATAGCTATAGTTAGATGTTTTGAAATGAGTGTTTTGTGGAAAGTTATGCACAATTAACATCTTATTTGTTGTAGGTAGGATTTTGAATGGTCTCGGTTTGGAAAAAAACGGTTTAATTTTGGTCAGACTGATGAGCTGATGTCTGGCCCTCTTGTGACTAAATGAATAATGCCATCTTAAAACAACTCAAATCTCAAAAAAAATATATAATTTTTCTTCACACCTGGCACTTTATAGATTATTATTGCACATATTTTGCAAGGGATCAGCTGTGACTGACCGTTCGTTCAGATGTGGGACATCAGCAGGTCTGCCAGTGATGGTGTAACGTATTGAATATTTATATTCTTCACATAACTCCACTTTAAAAACATGCATTGTCTTATTAACACATTTTATTGTGTGAAGGTTTATGAAGTATTCACACTATTGTGGTCCATTTTTATTCTGTACATTTTTCGGCATCTTTCTCGTTCCACAATTTTTGTGCTATTTCAACAATTCAATATCAAAAATGTTCAGCTCTTTCAAAAGAGAGGTGCTAGGACTTTTGGTATTGGTGCAACTTTTGCTTTTAGAAATATTTAGCCTTTTCTGCCACTTTTTTCTCATTTCACACCTTTAGATCTGTTTACATTCTGCTTCTTTCACATTTTCTTCTGGTTCAGCTTCTTTCAACTTCCTTGTGCAAATAAAAATAATTCAACTACTTTCAACTATTTTTTCAGCTGTTTTGTGCTCCTTTTAGATTATTTCTGTTAACCACAACATTTTTGTGCTTTTCTAACTTCTTTCTGCTAATTTCAGCTTATTATGCTCCTTTAAGCTTACATGTACTTCTGCGTTTCAACAATTTCTGTTATTTCAGCTACTATTTTGCTGTTTTATACTAAGTTGAGCTTTTTTCAGCTAATTCCACGTTTTTTATGCACTCATTTAATCTTTTTTCATCCTAATTCAGCTAAAATGTGCTCACACTTTGTTCAGGTCATTTAAGCTTTTTTTCTGCTTTTTTAGCTACTATTCAATTGTTTTTTTTGTGTGTGTGCAAAGTTCTGCCTTTTTCAGATAATGTCCACTCTTTTGTGTTAATTTCTGCTTCTATCAGTCTAATTGGGCACAGATGCACTCTCTTCACTTTCTTCAGGTAATTTAAGCTTCTTCCTGTCGTTTCAGCTACTTTTCAGCTATTTTTTTGCTGATTTCAGCTTTTTTTAAGCTAATTTACCAATTTTTCTGCTCATTTCTGCTTATTTAAACCACATTCAGCAAAAATGAGTTCTTTCTGCTTTCTTCTGCTAACTTAGGCTTGTTCTTCTATTTCAGCATGTTTTTAGCTAATTTCAGCTGTTTTTCAGCAAATTCTTCAACAATAAGCATTCACACTACATTTTTGCAGGAAATGTGATTACTCTAGTTGTGTTTATGGTTATCGTTTTAAAAGTGTGTTATAGTTTTCTATTCATCCACAATGCAAGCACTGGCTTTTTAAAACTCATCAAGTATGCATGATGTTTTCCATTTGTTTCAGGGGGGTGGGTGGACAACATGTGGGTTGGCCTCATCAGGGAAGATGAAAAAGAGGAGAGATGTGGAATGAAAAGTAGAGTGGGAGGCAGAAGAGAGGACTCTCAAGGTTAAAGTTTAGTTTATATAACTAAACCCCACAGCTGAGGTGAAATGTGCTGCAATGACCGTGTTGTATTAATACACAAGAAGACTATGATGTAGGAGATAATCAGTGTTCTCACACAAACTTATTCAAAGGGCATCTTTTTTCTTCTTGTAATTTCTGCTTTTGCCTTTTTTTCTGAACTTTCATTTTTGTGTCCATTCCCAGAAATGCAGCAGGATCAATTTCATGCAAGCCTGCCGCAAAGAATCAACAATCATACAGCGTTATCTGACTACAATCTATAATCTGATAACAGTTGTGATATAAATAGCAGCTGCAGTTGTTGAAAGAAACATTTTATTCAAACTGAAGTATAACTGAGAGCCATCTGCCCTGGAACTGAAAATCGATTATAATTTGTCTCGTAAACAAGGTTTTCTTTTATAATTTTCTTGTTTATTGGCGCTTAGTTTCATCATCAAACATGATAACCGTATTTTCTGGCGTATAAGTCGCAGGTTTTTTTTTACATAGATTTGTTAGTCTTGCTACTTATACTGTATGCCAAGGCGACTTATAAATTTTTTTTTTTCATATTCATAACACAATTTTTGACTGTTGCGTTAAATTTCTAAGAACTGCAACAGCGAGTCCTCCCGTGCACGCTCGCTCCACTCAGCTGGTGCAGGTGGAGGAACGCTGGAGATCTAGTGGCTCCGGCTGCAATGGATGGATGGATGGATGGCACTGCGCCTCCCAGGTGAAATAAAGCTGTTTTGACCATTAAATAAATGCATAATAAACGCAACATGTCAGCGGTGATACATGATAAATGCTACTTATACGCCAAAGCGATTTATATGTTTTTTTCCTCTTCATGATGCTTATTTTGACTGATGCGACTTATACTCCGCAAAATATGGAATAAAGGGCAGCATCAAATAAGATTCTGAGCTCTTATTCAGACAGACTAAATATATTTATTGTTCTGATCTGGTTTATTATGTGTAAAAAGTGAATATTTATCTAATTAACTGATTAACTAAAATTATAGGCTTATTTATTCACAAGCAGGATTTCTTGTACATGCCCTCACACTGAACTGTGCATTTTGGAAATATTGGTCTATCCTAAGCAGCTCAGAGCTGGTATTAGAGAACATTAGGTTGAGTTGGCAGATATCAAATAACTGAGTCTAAAGCTGTAAAACACACCACGGTTTTTTGTTTTTAATTTAATCTTAATCTTTTGTCATTTTACCAGCACTGGATAACTGAGGAGACACTTCTTTGTCTGCACAGAGAAAAGAGGCGTTTTTTCCAAATCATGTTTTCCTGCACATGTCTGTGTGTGTTTGTTTGGTTTTGGTTGGCTGTGAGCATCAGGGTAAAACACAAAGAAACCCCCCCCCCCCCACACACACACACCACCTCCACCACCACCACCCACCAGGTTCATACAACAGAATACCTCCATTTTTTTCCTGTGATGATGAGTTTGTGTAATTCATAGTTGTCCGCCCATTTGTCTGTCTTATTGCCGCACTCGTTTTTCTTAAAAAACATTTTATCTAACTCTTTTGACAGTGACATCACACAGCTTTTTGTTCACAAGCTTTATAGTTTTGTTCTTTTCCCTTTTCTTTGTGTGTTTGACGCACTACCGGTAGGTCAGGGGTGTCCAAAACATTTTCATAGGTGGGCCAGAACTGTCTAAAGGAAAGGTCTTGCGGGCCAGAAAAATCAGATTTTAGGGAATTATTATTTTTTTTTAAAGCATGATTTTTTTCCTCCTCATTTTTAACAACTTGAATAATATTTTGGAGAAAGGTTAAAAGTTTAGCTTAACTTTTTGTAGATCCAGAACATTAGGATTGTCCTTTTTAAATTTTCTTTTAAATAATTTAATTTAGGTTTTCAGGGTCTGTTATTTGTTTTCTTATGCTTGGAAAGTTCATTTTTGTTTATCTTCAGAGGCAAAAGCCTAAAATGAGTAGCTGTTCTTTAAAAACAGGGGTGGAACTTCAATCACCTGTTTGGACCTCGCACGGCCCAAATGGGTCATGGAAGTTCTGAAAAACAGCTGGCAGTCACTAAAACAGATTCACAGAAGGTTTAAAGGGACACTGATAAAGTTGATCAACTTGTATGTCGATGATACCAATTTATATTATTTTCCAAATGTCCAAATTCCCCCCATCGATTATTAACTCAACTAAAATTGTTTTCTCTGAAAACACTTGTTATATTTACCCAAGTTTTATGATTTATCATCCAAAATTCTACTTTTAGGTAGGTCAGTGAAGGTTTGTTGTAGGATAAAGGGATTAATTATAGCAGAAGTTTTGTCTTGTAAATTCACAAATTTTGATAAAATTATTTTAATTTTTTTTGCAGTTAAAACCAAAAAAAAATTATTAAAGTATCACCATTAAATTTAAAGAAGTTCTACATCTGCAAAATCTTGTTAAAACTGTGGGTCAAGATTATACAATTCTTTAATTGGACTCGAGGGCCACAAAAAAATCCTTCCAAGGGCCACAAATGGCCCTCGGGCCGTACTTTGGATGCCCCTGCATTAAGTCATTGAGAACATGTGAGAACCTGACTGCTCAAACTCATATTTCCTTCTTGGTTTTCATAGAACGAACCGACTCCAACTTTTGAGCCTGCGTGGATCATGGAGTTGTTTGAAGATCATCTTACACTGAACTGGGGAAGGCAATGATGCTGCAGCTTGACCACAGGTAACTGCTCGCCTTTCTTGCACGTTTCAGAAATATAAAGTTATCGTTAGTAAATTTGTTTGGTAAATTTTCCAGTTCAGTACAAGGAAAAAAAAAGACTTTTAGTCAGCCTCATTTTGCAGCTTGAGCCCACTCTTGAGAGGCTGATGAGTGGGTTTGATGATGTGTGATTCACAGAAGACAAACTGATCTGACATCAGTTCACTCAGCTGTGCTATGAATCAGGAGATACCTCTGTGATCAACAAAATGGATCCACAAACCACTTTCTTTGTTTTTACATTTGAAATTTGAGGCCTAGCATAAAAATAAAATACACATCACCTGCTGCTTTTTGTGCTAGAGTTTAAAAACTGACATTATTTTATATTTAGAAACAACAGTTATAGCCGTTTCGATCAAACCCTGAAAATAATGCATCTTACGTGGGATCACCAAGTCTCATGTGATTTATTAGTGCTCTTAGTATGAGTTATGAATGACTCCCAGCTACTACCATAAAATATTTTCCTTTACTTACGTCATAGGTAACCGACATGTTTGCGATCTGAGAGCCTTATTGGCTACAAAGATGCAGATGAACGGTTTGAATATTAATTCAAGTAGCAACTGTGCTCAGTAGCGACTTCTGATATAGCAATGTAGATTACATGGTCTAAATTGTACTCAAGTATGAGTAAAATTACACACTTGAAAGAAATACTCATAAAAGTACAAGTAAGTTCCCAAAAAAAATCTACTTAATTACAGTAATGTGAGTATTTGTAATTCGCTATTTCCACCCCTGATCCTGTTCAACATATTTTGTGGTAAAGGAATTAAGTTTAAAGTACATGTAGGCAGTTTTTGCACACAACAAATATGTTGGAGATTATTTCAAAACATCTAAAGTGTGATTTTGTTTTCAGTCAGTGTAACCCAGAAGAGACAATACTATTATTTATTTCTACTCCACAGTTAAAATATGGGGAATGTGGAGAGTCAAAATGGTGACAGTGGTTCCTATGGCGACAGAGCAGGGCATCTCTCCCGCAAACACACATCCCGCTCACTCCGCCTCCCCAACAAGCAGCTGGTCACCCGACGCCCAAGGCACTCCTCGTCCGGGACACAGAAACACAGAAACTCTGAAACCTCGACCCGCTCCTCCAGCACACCGAGCATCCCACAATCCTTAGCGGAGACCGGGCCGGAGCTTTACAATGCAGGAGATGAGTTGGGAGACTTCAGTCTCAACCCCCACTGGACGCAACGTGTTGCTATAACGATGAGGCCCGAGTCCTATCAGCACGAGGATGAACCTTTGACCACACCGACTCCTGAAACTTCAGAGGCATACACACTTGCTCAGGATGGAGGAGACTTGATGGGTGGAGGAGAGGGCGACAAGGAGGGAACGTACCTACAGCGAATGAACGAAGGTCCTCGAGATGGAGGGAATTTTAAAAAGAACAGGTCAAAGTCGGCAGACATGTCAAGAGAAGACAGTTTGGAGTTTTCTCTGTACGACTGCAGCCAGGACAACCTGACCAGCACTGAGGACATGATCGATGGAGGAGAGGAGGAGGAGGAGGAAGAGCAGCTGTGTCCCAGAGGCAGCACAGGTACAACAACACACATCATTGCAGTCCAGAGTTCTTACATAATCAAAACAGTTGCAATGTCAACATTTGTGCAAATGAAACCTGAATTTACATATTCTAACAGAATAAATAACAGTGTTTTCTGGATTTGATAAATAATATATTTTTATAAAAAGTGTCAAATATGTGCATGTATGCAGGAAGCTGTTGATTTGATTCACTATACGGATAATGAGAGGAAGGGAGATGAGAAATACACAAGCCCTGACCGAGTAGGAAAAAACAATTTGAGCCATAGAGCTGATTGAAAATCTGCTGCTGCCCACCACGTGAAGCACTTCTGTCGACCACAGGCTTGTTTAAGGGGAGCAAGAGCTCCAGGAGTTTAGCTTGACAGCAGGCAATGACTTGTAATTTACTGATGAACGTTTAAGTGCTCTTAGAAGAGACAAACGAATGGTGCTATTTCAAGCACATATAAATGCACACGTAGAAGAAGCATGACAAATGTGCCTTAAAGTAACCATTTGGGGATGGTGGTATGATGGTATGGGATTTGTCTGGTTAAATAAAAGGTTAATAAAACTAACAGGAATCAGAAAACTCTTAAAACCCACACATTATCCGGCACCAAGCACCTGTTTTATGTTCCAGGCTCAGCTGAAAGGGCTTCTTCTCTGGACCATCTGTGCAGCCAGAAGAGTCCTGGCCTCCTGGGCCAGAGGATTCGTCGTGTTAAAAATCGCAGAGAAGCTGAGTGCAACGGAAAGGGAAAGGGGGAAAGTGAGTTGTTGTCTCCGAACGAGGAAGATGGTGGAGGGTATGCAGCGTTCACGCTACCCTGTCGACGGTCTCACTGCCTTTCTGAGGGGCTCTCAGGGCTGGGGATCCCTGCTGCTCCGTGCCCAGCCTTCCAGGGACGACGTGCACAGACTACTCAGGTTTAAACACGTTTCTCATATTACTAAATAAATATATCAATATATGTTTTGTCTGGGCAGCACAGTGGTGCAACTGGTAGAGCTGCTGCCTCTCAGCGAGCAGGTCCTTGGTTCAAACCCTGGTCCAGGGGCCTTTCTGGGTGGAGTTTGCATGTTCTCTCCATGCATGCGTGGGTTTTCTCCAGGTACTCCGGTTTCCTCCCACAGACCAAAAACATGCATGTTAGGCTGATTGGCAACTCTAAATTGTCCCTAGGTGTGAGTGAGAGAGTGAATGGTTGTTTGTCTCGTTTGTCTCTGTGTGTCCCTGTGATGAACTTGCGACCCATCCAGGGTGTACCCCACCCCTCGCACAGTGATTGCTGGACATGGGCACCGGCGACCCCCGTGACCCAAAATGGAAGAAGCGGGTAAAGATAATGGATGGATGGATGTTTTGTCTGGTATTTTCTTTGTTTGATTTTTTGAATTGATCTTAGAGTGATAGAGAGACGGTATTCTAACAGTGTTTTTCACAAAGTTTGGGAAGTTTAGACATCACAAAATACACCAGTCATTCCAGTCATGACACTATTTTTTGACAATCAGACATTTCCTGTAGTAAACACATGCTATACAGATGTGCATCCAAATGTGCTATTTGCTTTATATATATATTTTTTGTCTTATTTAAACAATTTTCGCATCATCTCACTACAGCTGATTAAGTCATGGAGTAAGAGACGATGCAGTTGCTGGTATAATCTATCTAACTGAAAGTCACTTATTGTAATTTTGTCATGTTCATGCATCACTGACTTATAAATGACAAAATATAAATGACAAAATGAGAGGGCAGTATACTGACAGAGAGAACAAGACTTTTAGTTCAGCTCATTTACGCAACCCGCAAGCACCCTTGGATAGCAGCTCACATGACGTGCTTCTTATAAATTAAAGTTGCAGGCAAAGGGGACCGCTGGATATGTAAAGATCTACATCACAGGAAAACAAAGAGTAATTGCCAGAGAGACTCTCTTTTGTGTCAACATGAGGAACTTCTTGCTCATTGCGCCGCTCAAGGTGGCTGCATGTTGGAGCAGCTCTGTTACTTTCATTCTGAGATTTTGCTTTTGGAAACTTTAATTCCTGTTTTTCTGGATGTAAATCACATTTTTGGACGATTGTTTCCTCTGGTATCAGATGCTGTGCAGCTGGAAGGATTTTTACTGAAACTTTTTTAGTTTTGGACATTTGTTATGATGTGTAACCATGGCAACAAGGCTGTTTTCTACAACCAACAGCAGCTGATTAACATCTTCAAAGCTCAAATAATATTTCAAGTACAGCCCCAAATCTCAAATGAGTTGAAAAGGATGTTCTGTGGACGCATTCTCATCTACCTGCCAGCTGTGCTCGAGTGCCTGACCACTGAGATCCTGGAACTAGCAGGAAACATGGCTCATGAAAGCAGAAGGACAGGATCGTCCCTCGGCACTTACAGTTGGCTGTCTGCAGTAACGAGGAGCTCAGCAGACTGCTGGGAGGAGTGGCCATCACACTGGGAGGAGTTCTGCCCGGCATTCGGGAGGTCCTACAGCCCGGGGGAACCGAGAGGCCAGCCGAGTCTGGGTGGACGGATCAGACGGCATCCGCAGCCAGTTTCTTAGGATCCACTGTGGGATGGACCTTTACAAGAGATCCTTCCTGCCTACAGTCATCAGTATCTATAACATCTCTTAATGAAATGAGGATAATGAGTTACAACAACAAATAATTTCCCTTTGGGATTAATGAAGTATTTTTGAATTGAAATGAATTTAATTATTTTTTTTTTGTATTAGAAAAGTGTGGAGGATACAGATTTGGGTGCGTTTGTGCTTTTTGCAAATTATACTCCACGATGGTTTAAATGCAGGCCCAGAAATGTGTTTTATGTGTAATTTAACTGTTTAGGCTTGCAAATTTATTCACATATATTATAGTTTTTATGCAAATCAGTTGTTTCTTCCTTGTGTCCCTGTCTGACAGGACATCTCAGGTGTCCTGGGAGAGGGAAGTGAGTATAGCGACAGCGGAATTGATGGCATCGCCACAGAGATGGATGCAGACGGAGACCTGGTTTCCCGTAGGTGCAAAGCCATGTCGGCCTCTTTCTCAGTCTACTCTGCCCACGAGAGCAGTATTTTCAATGGGAGTGACAGCGGTAGCAGCAGTGCCGGTGGAGTAGAAGGACGAGCTGGCGAAGGAGGCAGGGGAGGGGTGTATGAGAACTTCCGAAAGGAACTGAACAGTCAAAACTGGGTTAGTAGCTTTTGCTTGTTTCTGTGTACTCTTTCTGTGAATTGAAGATATTCTAGTCTCTCTTCTCTTTTCATTTTACTTTCTCGTCAGACAAATCAGGGCCGGGACTGCATGGAGGAGGCCAGCTCCGCTGTCAGCGATGAGCAGAGTAGCGGGACACTCAGCAGTGCCTATCCATCCGAGTCTGTGATTGAGTGCGCTCAAGGCACAGTCAGGAAAGCTGGTGCTTTGTCTGTGAAGAATTTCCTGGTCCACAAGAAGAACAAGAAGGTGGAATTTGCAACCAAGCGAAAGTGGAAACACTACTGGGTGTCTCTAAAAGGTGCCCCCTAAGTTTGCAACCGTTTTGACTGTGAACAAAAGTTCCTCCCTAGTGTGCCAAATTTACACAAGTCATGCATTTAACCATTGATCTGTGAAGCCAAAACACAAAACATCAACAACAGTTCAAGGAGGTTGCTAATATGTTGCTGACTGTTCAGGTTTGGTTGATTTGCCATTATGCAAAAATCAACACAAGGTCATCAATGCAAGGAAATATTGAGGCCGCGAAGAACCGTCTCGACTCGCCAAAAAAGAAACAACAAGAAATACCAAAGCATGTAGCAAAATTACAAACAACACGTCACCAAAAGTGGAAAAGAAATACATCTACAGTGAGGTTCTTTCAGCAGCACGGTTCTGTTCTGTTAGCAGTGTGGTATTGTTAGCGCGTTAGCAGGTCTTGTTAGCAGGTCCTGCTAGCAGCTTGATGGTAACAAGGACCGCAGCAGCTGCCCTCACAGACTTCCCTTCAGAACCGGGTCCAGCAGACCGAAAACATCCAAGGTTTTCCTCGCGGAGCCGAACTGGTTCGTAGAGTTCGGTCTGTGCAGTCAGGTGGAGGATCATGGAGACGGCCGCCATGACGGCCACCATGACAGGCCAGAGCCTGAGCCCAAAACTGGAGGGGGCCAGGAACTGAACCAGGATGGCAGGATAGCAGGATGGCAAGGCAACGACTCACAAAACTCCAAAAGTGTGTCATGGTCATACCCGTAGCGTGGGTGTGTAGTGTATGCGCAAAAAAAAAATTAAAACAAGAACAACAGGAACAAAAAAGATTGAGTCGAAGCGAAGCTCCCGTCAGTGCAGCCATACTGCAGCGCTCATGACGTTACACTGTTATGACTGTTATGTTTGATAAAACATCGATGTGATGTTCTTTGTTTTGTTTCTTAAAGGTTACTAATTTTTAGAGAGTTATACTGAATGTACCACATTCTTGTTGGATCTTTTTAGAAGCCTTATTCTATTCCTCTGAAAGCATCTCCTTGAAAAGGTCCCAGGTGTTCATGTGGCGTTAAATGAAGTGTAGGTTTGTGTGGACCAAAACTCCTGAAGCCAAAATATCACACTCAGAAAAGCCCCTCAGTCTTACCTCAGATCATTGAATCTTCTATATTTTCCCTCCTCTTATATTGTAATCACATCAGACTGAGCTCAGCATGTGCCCTTGGTTGTCACCCTTTCTGTTTATGTTCTCGCTGCTCTTTGTGGCTACGCATTACCTCTGCCTCGTCCCAATTTAATTTTACGCCAGGATCCATGTCTAATCCAATTCAGGCCTTTTAAAATGCACAAGATGCAGCATTTGCAGCTGTGCTATATCCACTGTTTGTATCCATCCATCTCCAAGAAGACAAATCTGTCTGCTCTTTTTGACCTCAAGAGAAAATTCGAACGAATAAACAAGAATTTTTGTTCCGATACAAATTACAGCTACAATATGACAACTTTGATAAAGAGTTAGTAAATGTATTTTTTTATTGTTCATTTTCTTTGTATTTTTTTTCTGTTTTTCAAGGCTGCACCCTTTTTCTGTATGAATCAGATGGTCGCTCGGGCATTGACCACAACAGCGTTCATAAACATGCACTGTGGGTGGAGAACAGCATCGTCCAGGCTGTGCCTGAACACCCCAAGAAAGATTTTGTCTTCTGCCTCAGCAACTCTGTGGGAGACGCTTTCCTTTTCCAGGTGAGGAAAATGCTGGAGTTCAAATCATCCCTCTTCTGTGGTCAGTTTAATCGTTCTGAGACAGCATGACAGCACTAAAAGCTAGGCAAGACATAGACAGATGAATGGAAGATGTAATATTTCATCTAGGGATTTCATGTGTGTTTGTGTGGCACATGACCTTTAGCTGGAAGATATGACAGTGCCATGTCCATGTGTTTGTTTTATGTCTGACATGTTTAAAGGCCACATAGTAACACTGTGACACTGATAACTATTGGGTGTATTCTGCAGCAATTTATATTCATCACCACTTTCCTCAAAGGCAATTTGTAAAAGCATAGGAAGATAATTATTAATTTCATGATGAGATTAAGGTGACACCCTTACACGTGATAGTTAGGACTCAGACATTAATTCTTCTAGCTGTCATATTCATATTCATCCTCTTTGTTGTTTCCCGTTTTGTTCAAAGTTTTCTTTCCTCCATTTCTCACCAGACATCTGGCCAAACTGAACTGGAGAATTGGATCACGGCGATCCACTCGGCATGCGCCACAGCTCTCGCTCGGCAGCACCACCGGGACGACACGGTGAGACTGTTGCGGACGGAAATCCGCAAGCTCGAGCAGAAGATTGATATGGATGAGAAGATGAAGAAGATGGGAGACATGCAGCTGTCCACAGTCACCGATGCCAAGAAGAGGAAGACCATTCTTGAGCAGGTATGAAGAGAACTATTATAACCTAATAAAAACTGATAAAAAAAAAATGTAACTGAAAATATAAAGGAAAAAATGTATACAAATTCAGAAATAATCCTACCACTTAAAAAAATCAGTTTTGTTTCCATATCATCATGTGGCAAATTAAAAGATTGTAACATACATATGAATCAAGCTTGTGATCCTATTAGATCCATATTTAAACATATAAAAGCTCCTGAGGGGCTTTAAATATGCACATTTTTGTACCTTTGAAGTGCACTGATATTTTCATGCAGTCAAAATGCATTGCTAAATCATCTTAACTGGATAGTGTCATTCAGACAAAATGTTTTGGGAGAGCACAATCAGCTCCAGGTGTTTTTTTTAATTTCCAACTGGTTATCATTTTTAAAGCACATTCAGAATATTATATATAGATAATATATAGATGTATCCTAGGAGCTACAGTATGCTGTCAGGTGTAATTGCAATTTCCCCTGGTAGGGTCTCTCCCAAGGCAGATTGGTCCCATGTTACGGATGTTATGGACACTCAGGTGAAGAGTGGAGCTGAGCTGTTAACTGATCATTAACTGGTAGTGAGTTGGATCAAATGGTGGGAGAAGATACCAGACAGACTTGGTAGACCCAAATGTGTAGTGAGAGTTTGCAGGGAATGCCTGGCAGAAGAACCTGTCAGAAAGATCCTAACTCGCACCTCTGAGAAAACTTTAACCCTATCCCAGCTGAGGTGGGGGACACTGTTTGAGTGGACATTGTTCCACACCTCCTATGTGGAGTCGGCCACCTTGAGCTGTGGCTGCAAGGTTGTCAGTGTTCCTCACGGTGGCCGTCCTTAAACTCAGTGATGGATATCCAAATTAGAGAAGCTGTCAAGCTGAAGAAGGAGTCCTATTGGGCCTTGTTGGTTGGTAGGACGTCAGAGGCAGCTGAGGAGTTTTTGTAAGCTAAGCAAGCTGCATACCTAGCTGTTGCTGAGGCAAAAGCTCGGATGTGAGAGGAGTTTGGTGAGGTCTTGTATAGAGATTCTCAAACACTCCAAGGAGAATCTGGCAAACCATCAGACAACAGAGGTAGTTAAAGATCTGGAGTTCCAGGGGTGGATGAGATCTGCTGTGATCTTCCCTGACCCGTCAGAATACACATAATGTTAAGGCTAATCATTATGTTTACTTTGACTCCATCAACCAGGGAGCCTGGGGTCCTAGCTGCCTGGGGTCTGCTGGAGGACTGCTAATGGTAACTGCTCTCTGTTGCTCCGTGCAACCTAAGAGGCCCTGGCTAGCTAATAGATTTTCAACCTTGTGGAGCCAAGTTGTGGAGCCAAGCTTTCAAATCAGACAGCCTCATCTCCAAAACTACCACGAGTGTTTGTTACACATGTCATTATAGCTAACTACTCTGTAGACATAGGATGACATGTCACTATTTATTACAGTCTAGTTTATGTAGGTACCAGGTAGATACCAAATAATTAACTAGTACATACCTGATATGTACCTGTTATACACCCAGTATGAATCTGGTATTACCTGACACAGACCAAGTTCATACCTAGTACGTACCAGCTAAATACCAATATGTACTCAGTATGTATCCAGATATGTGTCAGGTATGCACCAGTTAAGTACCAGTCACATATGGAAATGGATTTGTACTAATTAGTGACATGTTATCCTGTATTTATATGGTACATACCTGGCATGTACTAGGTACAGTTCATACTTGATACAAACCAGGTGTGTATGCTTTGCTTCATAAAGAAGAATGCTCCCATCATGAAGTCACACTCATCTAAATAACAATAATAACATTCTGCACAAGTCTTAAATCGTATCTCAAATTTTTTAACAATCTATTTTGTAGAGCCACATAGACTAAAAAAGATCTGTGCAAATAGTTAGTGTCTGAGATCTGTTTATAGTTAAAATGTATCAGAAAAAATATTTACAGCTATTTATTTAAGGCCCAGGAACAGGCAGGTTAGGGCATAAAATAATGCAAATGAAATCCAGTTTGGCAGAATGGTGGCACAATTGATAGAGCTGCTGCCTCTCAGCAAGCAGGTCACCCCAGTTCAATTCCTGGCTGGGGGCCATTATGTGTGGAGTTTGCATGTTCTCTCTGTGCATGCATTGGTTTCCCCCAGGTACTCCGGTTTCCTCCCACAGACCAAAAATATGCATGTTAGGCTGATTGGTAACTCTAAATTGTCCCTAGGTGTGAGTGAGAGAGTGAATGGTTGGTTGTCTCTGTTTCCCTGTGATGAACTTGCGACCTGTCCAAGGTGTCTCCTGCCTCTTGCACTATGATGGCTGGACATGGGCACCAGTGACCCCCGCAACCCAAAAAGGAAGAAGCGGGTAAAGATAATGGATGGATGAAAATCCAGTTTGTGTGTGTCTCTTTTGGTTCCTCAAAGCTTGCCTAATTTCTGAAAGCTCATGTCTCTGCGGGACGATGGCCAGCTCTATCTGTGATTTGTGAATGGTCAGAGGCAGCATAAAGACGGACTAGTTTTTGCGGCCATTTCACAGAAATGTTTTGTGAACATGCCTTCTATTTCACCTCCCACTGCCCGCCCTCTGATGAATTACACACAGCACAGCAGGTTAGCCACTAGTGGGGGTTGTGTTGGTGACTAATATCTCTCCATGGGGGCTTCAGCACTCCCACGTTGCTCTCCTCTCACGACCAAACCGTGATATAACACCAGTGAACCTTTGTGCCTGTTCCAGCTTTTCTTTGATGTTGGTATTTATTTTTATTTTTAGATCAGGATAAATCAGGATCTTAGCAGAAAAGTTTTTCTCATATTGTATAATCACCAATTTTTCATTGCCTTCACTTTTTAAATGCTAATCTTTTCTATTTGTTAGATCTTCTTATGGGAGCAGAACTTGGAGCGGTTCCACATAAACCTCTTCCGCTGCCGCTGCTATCTGGCCAGTCTGCAAGGCAGCGAACCTCCAAATCCCAAACGCCTCCTTGGTTTTGCTTCACGTCCCACCAAACTGATCATGGGTCGCCTTGGCATCTTCTCAGTGTCTTCTTTCCATGCACTGGTATGGTTTACAACCCCTATCTTACATTTTAGCGCACACATCACATACAGATGCCTCACCACCCCTGGTGTCACGGTACACTCCACTAGTGTCCCCTTGACACCAGGGGAGTGCACCTGAAACTGTGTTTCTTCAAGAAGCTGTGCAGTAATTGTGGTTTTAAAGTAAACCAGAGTTCTTTAATCTGTAATTTAAACATGATTCATATGTCTCTGCATGTCCCAGTAGGCCTTTTGTGAGAAATTCTCCACTGCTGACCTTCTAAAACAGCGCAGCTTGAAGAGTGGGTGTGTTTATGAGGCTGTGAAAGTCTTGTCATTAAGTCCTACTGAAAGCGAGGGATTTCTACTTACATAACAAATGTTCACACTAACACAATGAATCTACCCTAAACCTTAGACACACAATTGCTGAAAAAGCTATACCACTTTTATAATCAGTGCTTATAAAGCAACACATAAGCCACCTTATTCCACAGCAAAACATTATTTTGTCATTGATTCATTCAACCTTTATTTATACAGGTTCATCTCATTGAGCCTCGAATACTCATTTACAATTTACTGGCATTCCATTTTATGATTTGACAAATATATATATATATATATATATATATATATATA